ACCCCACGACCGCGGTTTCGTTCTGGTTTGGACTCATCTGGTGGAGATAGCGGAAAGTGGAAGATAGTGGAAAGTGGAAAGTGGAAGATAGCGGAAACGAATTCAAAGTTGGACTTGGAGAATCCGCTGTGTGGTTGGGTTGCTACAAGCAACCTCCATTGAGACCTCGGTTCACTTGTGGTGGACGTCGGTCATTCCGATCACAAGGACCGTAAGTAAAATGTAAGCACTATGGTGTCTGTCATCCCAATACTGGCACCCCACGACCGCGGTTTCGTCCTGGTTCGGACTCATCAGGTGGAGATAGCCTGAGCTGTGCTGGAATTCAGAGCCTAGTGGCTCATGGTTGACACCACAAGCACTATGCCACCGAGATCCCCGAGAAACGCTTGGTACAGCGGAAACGAATTCAACGTTGGACTTAGAGAATCCACTGTATGGTTGTCTGATTTTATTCCTCTTTATTTTGTTTGTTCAATGCTTTTACTCTGTTGCATAATCTGTGTCAATTTTGCGTGCTTGCTTCCCCTTAATTTCCTTGTTGGTTGTCTGATATCTTCGATGTGGCTGCGTTTGATGTGAATGTTAACAAGGTGCCTACCTGTCTAACACTCTCCACCTCGATTACTGGCTCCAGGAGACTGAATCGTTGCTGTGGGGACGGGGTGCACGTTGCTCGTCGCCGTGCTATGTTCAAGGAGTGGTTTCATCTAGTGTGGAGCGGACTACTGCCAAGCCACTGCCTTGTATACCTCTGTTACGCATGAGTGTCAACATAGATAGACAGAATGCTGTCATTATGCACGTTGAAGGGGTGTGGACCGGTTCCATGTAGCAATCGTGGCTCCAATCGACATGCCTACCGGTCTTATTCCTTCGAGTTTACACTGGATATAGGGTGTGTGGATGGAGCTGTAAGTGGTGCAGCGCAAGCCGCCTATGGACTGTCTGTAGGCGCAGGCGTCATGTGACTGTCCGTTGGATTCCACATTGACAAGCCAATCCGGAACCGAATACCGCCAACAATGTATGAGTAACCATCTTTGGTACAGATACTATGTCATCGGAATCATGGTGGAGTATGAAAACAGGATAGGAACTAGGAAAAATGCGCTTTTTTCCGTTTTTTATTTTTTAACGCATGTTTTATTAGGGAATGGAAGGGAAATCACCGCAACACGCTGAGATACATGTTCGGCAGTGACGTCGGTCTTGAGCCATGACTTACAGGGCCTCCAACCAGCGACACTCTGTATTCCTGAAATCCCAACCAGGGAGTCGAGAACAACCGATCGAAGTCAGCTGTTTCGTCCTTTTTTCTTGCCGCTTCTCCGATTCATAGGTTGTCCACCGCGCGACCTCCTCCAGCCTCGTCCTGCAACCGCAAACAAAGTCCGACGCGGAAGACGACGACCGGGCACGCGCAATACGTGTCCAAACCACCGCGTCGGATGAGCTCGTCGAACTAGTGGCTGCCTCCACCCAAGACACGCTGTCTAACTACCACATTGGTTACGTGGTGTAACTGAAACATGGCCACTGAACCGAAAGCAACGGTGCTCGACGACAGACGGACGGCGCATGTCAACAGTACGAACTGGCCAAGTCGCAACCGTACAACAGTACAGCGCGGACAGTCGCACAATAAACCCGCCCTTTTGGTGGATAGACGGATGTCATGGCGGCGCCCCAAGTGCCTCAGCCTAGGAAAAGCGAGACGAACTATTGACATACGCACCGAAATTTTGTCTCTCCAACCGTCCCACCGGCAGTGATGTAGCTTCCCAGGTAGACAAAACTCTATACAACTTCCAGTGTTTCACTACTGAGAGTGAGTGCAGGTACAGACATCTGAAAGCCTTTTTGGGGCAAAGTTCATCCCATACTTTGACGCTTCATTCGCCAAACAGTTAAGTGCAAGTTAGGCGGCCTGTGGACCGTCACCCAGCTAGATGAAATTATCGGCATAGTCCAAGTCAACAACTTGATTACCTGGGAAAAGCTCAACGCTGGCGCTGAACGAATCTTCCAGAGCATTTTTGAGGACATCCTCAATGACCAAATTGAGGAGGAATGGAGAGAGGGCATCCTTGTCGAACCCCACTGGTGACAACAGAAGAAGGCGAAAGTCTGCCCTAAGCCCTAACTCTACCCGAGTTCGTACATATTACGTAGTACGGAAACGAACTTTCCGGTGCCGCTATTCCTCAACAGACAGTGCCACAATACAATCCTGTCGGCAGAATCGAAGGCAGCACAAATATCCAGGAGCACGAAAATTGTTGGCTTTTGGTATACATGGTGAAGCTCGAGGATCTGGCGGATTGTGAAAATTCGATCGATGCAGCCATGACTGGCGCGGAACGCAGCCTGTACTTTCCGCTGTAGTGATTCTTCAGTTACGGATAGCCTTCGATGCTGGATGCCGGAATATTGCAAGGGACAGGAACCAAACTGATTCTCATGTAGTTGGAGCACAATGTGCGCATGACCTTTACGAAGATGGAGACGACTATTGACTCTCCCCAAGATGACGGAATCTCTTCTTTCACCCAACCCTGAGAACAAAGCAGTGGGTTCTCGAACAAGAGAATAGCCACCATCTTTAAATAGGGTGGGAGGCAAACCAATAAGGCGGCGTGCTTTATAACACTGCAAGAGGCGGGCTTCATGCTAGATTTATTAGTGTGAGAGATCTATGGAGATATACAACTCAGATTCATTGAGCGCCCCGGGGGAGGTAGATGGAGTTGGCGGCTAGCAAAACTGCGAGCCAAAATGTTCAGCTCATCGTTCCAACTGTCGTTGAAGATTGGTGATTAATGGTCCATCCTCTTCGCGAATAGCTTCGCTTATACCAGCTCAGAGTCCTTTGGTGACTCATAAGATTGAAAAGTGTTCCGGTATTACCAAAGAGGCTAGCGAGTTCCATCGCTAATGCACGTTCACATCACTAGATTTCACGGTTCGTTTTTAATCTTTTGCGCAATTATCGATCTTGAGGTTGACATTCTTCACTACAGCTGGCAGTGAGGGGCAAGTCCAGATCTGGAGTTTGATTGCAGATCCATTAGGATCTGCTTCAGGCCTGTCACACACAGTCTTTGCATAGTTAGAACATCGCACTAGTGTTTTACGACCGTATTATGTTCCGCATCCGCGACCAGCCGCAGGTGGAAGTTACCGTGTTTGCATCATTTTAACCGGGAGCTGCCTGGCTTGAGGCGGGCGATGGCAAACCATTGAGCACCGGAAGGTACCCTCCCATCGTTATAGGCAATGAATGGCGCTCATGATGTATACCAATGGAGCTGTGACCTTATACTCCGCAGACCTGTTGTCTCCCAGGATTAGGTTTTAAATGAAGTGAGCCATAAACCTCCCCCTAATCTCCGGAGGGGATTGGATTGTGTGACTGTTAGTCTGACTCCTAACCGTTAACTTGTGTCGTTTGCATAGTTCTTAATGCATTGCTATAGTGCTACCCAGCGTAGGTCAGTAGGTCACGGACCACGTTAAGGCCCAGTTTCGTGTCGATAGCAGTCAGCATCGTATTCACGTTATACCGCTGTTTCTTTTCCAGCCCAGTATAAAATTCTTTCATCACACTCACGATTCGGCTTAACTTTTTCAATTTATCTCATTGAATACTGTAATATAACTTTCATATAACTGTCTTTGGTGACCATTACCTTGCGTCTCGAACTGTATTTTGTTTCGCCCCCGGGGCGTACCCATGTTCCGGCATATAATTAGGATATTACGCTCGGTTATTCTATTTTGACGTCAGTCGGTTGGATCAGCGAGTGAATGATGAGTTACATGCAAGTGTGGAAATATAGTCCGTGCGAATTTGAGTGAGACCGACAACTATGGAGGGTGTAAAGAAGGGAAACGCCATGGTCATGCCTTTTCGCCCATTCCCCATGCTTAATATAGTAGATAGAGTGAGCCTTTTGGTTGCGTTTCATTATTATTCTGATTGGTCGTCCCAGGGCGCTCGTACCTGACAATGCGAACTCCTCTGGCATACAGCAAATGAGGTCTGTGGTTGCTACAGTGGGTGCGTTTTACCCCTCGCCTTTCGTGATGTGATCTATTAAACACCTTATTTGACTCGAGATCTTATAGCCCATGGCTTGAAATCGGCCATAGCGACTTGTATGCTATTGTCCCTTGGTTGGGCTACCTGTGTGTGTGTGTGTGTGTGTGTGTGTGTGTGTGTTAGAGCTGCTTATAAAGCCGGTTAGTGACTGCCCAAAGGTTTCTTTACCGATGCGACCTTATTTTCAAATGATGACCAGTTGTTTTGGCAGATTGTATCGTCCATTATCCTTAATATTTCCTTAGAATTAGCACGTCATCCGTTTCATCCGCACATCATACTGCAGACGTCTCACCATCTTGTTCTACGTTATTAAAGGTATTGCGGTTGTACGCTGAGAAAGTGCCAATTACTGCTTTTGATATATAATTTTTAACCATGCTTACATGCAAAAGAACCGTTGTCCCCATGCTTATTTCAAGTTGCGCTATCGCAGAATTGTAGATTAAATCAACGTGCGTGGTCTTCATCATATCTTGATATCACTATACGTTGAATCAGTCAATCTGTTATGATGATCTTACCCGGTCAGCACGAAATCCCTGGTGGTTCATACAATCGTTACGTTTTGAATGTTTGCTGTTTCATGTTTAGTTCTCTGATTATCTTTGCTGCTCAATTAGATTTGATTGCACACTAATATTTCTAGTGTGTGCGGAACAGTTTTTAGAATTATCGAAAGCCCTTTCCATAGGCTAATTGTTTGCTTATTCCAACGTTTAATTTTGACTGATTTTCCGCTGGTCAATTTGTGGCAGACTTCTATCTTCTGATCAACCCATTCACTTATTACAGGATTGCTGAGTTACTTTCGTATCCCTTGTGCAGCAAGTATGCTATGCACGTTGCTACATGACTTGTAGGGCAGCTGCTAAACGTCTGCTCTTGCTCACAGGTATATTAAATGACTACCCTAGAACCACAGATCTCTGAGGAATGCTTGATACCGGCCGAGACGGACACTCCGTTGATTTGCCCTACCATACAATCACCTGTGAGCGTTTTGCATAAGGTTGCTCGCTGGAATCACCTGCGTCTTTCTTGGAGTTTGTTTGAAGAGTCCGGTCCACCACATTGTCCCACATTTGGTGTTCAGCTCTCATTACTCGAACCGAATTCAAAGCAAATAGACGTGTTTTATGGGTATGGAACAAGTATTCAGAAAGCGAAGCATCAAGCCGCAACCAACGCGATGGAAAGCTCCTCCATTCTCCAGGATATTTTAAAGAAGCAAGAAATCCGTCAACGCAAGCCTCCGACATCTAAAGAAGTTAGTGCTCCCGCAGTTTTTCCTTTCCTTGATATGTGCACAACATTTGGGGTTCCGTAATTTTTAAGATCTTGCAAACTGGGCTTCGAGTGCAAATGAATGACATTTATCGTTGTTTTGGGTCATTACGTTCACATCTCTACTAGCTAAATTTCACACAGTTTTGGGACGCTTTTCTCCTAGCTTCCTATTACCTTCGCCTCCTATGTTCCTAGCTTTCCCTATTCCTATTCTCGTAGATGGGATTGGCCAATAGGAAAATTTCTTCCGAACCATCCTAGTAGTCACTGTTCGCTAAGCAATATCTCCTCACCGCTTTTAAATACGTGAATATCTCTTGTATTCTCCATAAAAACATTTCTCTAGAAAGCAAAGTTTTTCGTGGTACTTTTGTCTTTGTGATGTCTGGAGTCCGATCTATTATGCATCACATAATGACTAAAATTGTTTCTGATGTGAAGACACTAGATTTCCAAAAAGTGTACTGAAATCAGCAAAAATATATTTTTTGTTAGTCGCCACTGACGCACGCAAATCCTTCCTCGTCTTAGACCAGGATAGTGATTGGCCAATCTCGCAAATCCGTTAGAAGACTTATAAATTCCTACGAATATTTCATTGGTTGTCGCAGGAGTTGGTATCATAATGGGCTTCGTTCAGAGATCTTGACTTCTTCCTTATTGAGGATAGGGATGTTGATTGGGAGCCGAATTTGTCTTCGTCCATGGTCTGAGCTGTGATTTTGAGCTTTCCGTGTTAGTTCAGCATTGTGGCAGTCGTCGTTAGATCGTAGTTTCAGTCTCCATTACACCAGGTATCGCGGTGAATTTCCATCTTAAAGTTCTGTCTTGAATACTATCCATTCCTGATTTTTCATCTAGATTGGTCCTCTAGACCTGTGGTTTTCGTTGCCGCTTTTTACAGGTATCGATGGCTGGTCGGTCCAGTAAATAGCTGTTTTATAAAGTGAAGTCTCACAGATTCTACATTCTTTTGTTTTTTGACTTCTTTGTTTGCTCACTATAACTACTGTTATACTTCAATATCCATATTTCTCCCCATTTCCACCTTGACTCCAGTGCGTTACGGGAGCCGGGTATTGCCCAAGGAGCTTTAATGCCCTCCAGAAATTTACTTCACATCGGTTCGCACAACTTTTGCTACATCATTTCTGAGCATTTCGTCGTAATCATGCCATTTGTACTAATTTTTCTTTTAGGTCTACTTCTTATGCGACTTCGGTTGAACGGATCTCGTTATCTTAGTTTCAGTCTCAGCTTAATTAGGTGGACGCCTCGAAGCAAAAGCAACTACTGAAAATGGGCACAAGTAGTGTAAAATATACGGACATTTATAGGTCGTCCTAAGAATATACATTTCTAGAGCTCGGCTGCCCTGATTGGCTGTTCTGTTCCGCTAGCCAGTAGACGTTACCTGATTGATATGAATTTTCCTTAAACGACTTGATTCTTCAGATCAGATCGTTTTCTCATTGAAATAATGAGTTTTCTCGGGTTTTATCTCCTTGTGGATAGGTTCAGTCCAGTATATCATCCACGACTCGAAGCGTGATGAAGCGGGTTACCTTCTGTCATTTCTTCGTCACAGTAAGGCTCGATAACAGCAAGAGTTGATCGCAGATTAAAAAACGAGATGCAACACGAGTGGTATCTAGTTTTTCTTTCAGCTGTCCTATTATCTTGTTTTCCGTACTCACCGATAACTTACATCAAAATCTTTGTGCTAACTTCATGGAAACAATCTAACGAAGTATCTACCCAACATAACAGATATTCTTAACAATTATTGCGTCTCATAGATACTACCTTAAGACCAGATCGGATGTGATTGTTCGAACACCCATCACGATGTATTCATCTTTGATCGCCTTTCAGATACACTGGTCTACTGAGCTGTGATCTAATTTCTTCGAATGCACCGCCTCTGTGTAACCTCACTAATTTGAACGGTGGTAGACAGCAGTAGTCTTTTTTTTCCGATCCATCCATCGTTGAGCTCACAAAAGTTAGAAGCACAATGCAGAGTAGAGATTGTTCCTGGTCTCTGTTTTGTAACTGAGGTGCCACAAGTCTCCACAAGTGCTCTCAAGGTCGTGTCTTATCCATTGTGAACTGTAACAGCACAACCCCTCGGTCCAACTTGATGAGCGTATTCATATCAGAAGGCCCAGTTGCTTATCACTCACTTTATTGTTACAACTACACAACCGTCATGCATCATTTTCCGGTAGTGCTTAACGTGTGCAGTGTCTATAGCCAAAAAACAATGCTTCCGAGTCGTGCCACCGTTTGAACTTTTCTTACCAAGATCACGTTTGAAAACGGCTTCGCATGATGAATTGATCACATCTTGTGGCACTTGCTTGTGAGGTACTCTCAGGTCTTTCGGTTACTCAATTCGAATTGCTGAAGTCACTCTTCCTGCTTGATTTTCCATGTTACGTGCTTGGTAGTATTTACGAGCCACTCAACCTGGCCCCTTGATCATGAGTAAACAGATGGAGATCCCAAGTTTTCAGATTTATATCGGTAGAATTCCTCATCACATGTGGGCATTTCTCTTTCTTTAGACATTTTACTAACCTATCACGGAAGACCTCTCGCGAAGCCTTCTCCTACCAAGTTACCTAACGAACAGCACCTACTGCTTTGCACAGTGTATCTACTTTGCGGTATACAGTGCCCGTGTTACACCATGAATTTCAGTACCATGATACCATGGAGCCCCAATCCATGGGGATCAATAAGATGCGAAATTGCGTCCACTCGACCCATCACTGTTCTACGCTTAGCGTTAACTTCGGTTCCTACAAATCAGCATAATAGCACAGCAGTGCAGGCGACTTGACACTTGCGTTGGTATCCACTTTTGTGTTCGTAAAAAAGCTCAAGTAGGTCGTGATCAAGTATTAGAGTAAACCGCCGATCTGTGATTGTTTTTTGAAAGTGGATACACTCACCGGTGCATCCTTTTGCGATCTACTGTTGTTGCTTTCGGCACTAGTTATGGGCTGTATTCATAGACAGTACAAGTGAAGTCAAATTTCATGTACCCCGATACGTGAATTTCAGCATTTTGCACTATCAACTGTTAATGTACCTTGACAGCAGAGCTTCACAAATGGAAAAACAAAATTGGAAAATGGTGCACAGCTGTCACTCGAGCAATGATCATATATTGCTGGGGAGAATTATCAGGATTCCTATATGGCTTACTCGGACAAATTCTACTAGTGTATCTTAACAATGGATTATGTTTTTTCCGAACGTAACATTATCTCGACTAACTTTTCAAAGAATCAGCGGAGTGAAGCGGTTTCAGTAACCTTGGAAATGATTTATCCGAGGAATTCGTGAAAGTATTCCTACAACTTGATATATCCATAGCAGCTAGTGTGAAACTGTTGTTTTATCAATAATGGTCGCTGCCAGTTTTAAGGCGTCACCTCCTGGTTAGTTGCGCACCGGTTGTCTTGATTCACGTCACCAAGACTAAAAACGATAGCTAAGCAGTCATTTCCAGAAGGGCTGAAAAATTCATACCTTGTAACCGCTGGAACAAGCGCAGCACAGCGACTTATCTTGTAACTTATGGCTGATTGGATATCTGTTCACAGCCGACTTATCTCAAGACTCCCATGCGGAAAGATCAATGGCACCAAGTCAACTTACTCTCCTCGTTTGTTAACACTTGTCTTAATCAGAGCCAACGTTCGCGAGCAGCATGTGCTGAGACAGCCAGCTGGAAAGTACTCGAGGAACATTACTTAGTAATGGGTGTGGATCCAGGTTAACAGTTAATAGTGCGATACCGCAGGATCTGATGTCCAAGATCGACTATTGGACTTACCTATCACTCATTCGGTAGTCCCATCAGATTTGGGAAATATTTTGCTAACATGGACGCTCAGACATGCTCATCTTGACGTTCCCAGCGCACAGCGTACATTTCTCTAAACGGAACTGTGACATTGGTCACACTGTTGTATGGCACATCCCATCGTTCGCAATATATATATATATATATATATATATATATATATATATATATATATATATATATAATCTACGGTAAGAAAGGGAGTGAAGAGAAAACCAGCAACTGTCAAACTGCAATCACGAAAGCAGTGTCTCACAACATGCCCTCTATTTACCGCGAGTTATCTCCATCCCCAAGAGAGTTCCCAGCTGTGTGTGCTCGTGGTCCTTGCACCCTCAGCCCGGAAGACGGGATTGCCCGTCCACTGCTACCTCCGAAGTTAGCACCTTTACACTGATTTCAACCCATTATTTGTTCACCTTGTCTTCACCGCTGTCCTGCGCTCAGCAGGTATGCTAAGTGCGTGCCCAATACACCGAAGCTTGTGCAGTGAAATTATGTAGCTCAGCGGTCGGCAATGTCTGTTTGATCTGAAAATTCCTGGACAAACGTTATCCTTACACATGTGATGTTGCCACCGTACACAAACAATCATCCGAAGATAAGGCTACTATAAATAGAAATCATTTGAAAATCTTTGCACGAGCAGGCCATGTCTCACAACAATAGAGCAATACCACTGACATTCTAACATTGTAGACTGGGCCCTTTAGAGAAAGGCTGAACTAGCGTCGACCCCACAGATGGCGGAGGTTAGCAAGAGCAACGCGATCCTTAGAAACACACTAAGGTATATCATCCTCTAAGCCGTTGATGCTGGGCATCTTCTTAGTTTATAGACCTTGTCTGCCACTTCTAAAAGGTGAATTGAAATAGGTAAAAAAAGAACAATTCCCAGTAAATACTTCTTAGGGATTTTTCTCATCGATGTGGCGAAGGTCATTCCGAATTGGGAGACAAACACTAGCGTAGCAGTACATTTTTGTCGACCTGCAATGACTTGCAGCTTTCGACGATGTCTGTATATTTCAAATTGTGAAGTCTTTTCTCCGGAAGCACCTCGACGCCGCTGGTTTCACAGTTGTTCAGAGTATTCTCCA